AAACATAATGTTCCTTCTGGACTCACACAGTTTTTATTTTGATAATTAAGGTGGATTTTGTAAGTCATGCTCGTGCGAAAGCCAGTTAACAACATTCCTCACAAACATTTAGCCAGGCCTCCATGTTATTTCTAGATTATTTTCGAAGGTGTTCGACAAAGTTTTTTATCAACGTCTTTTTCTGAAACTTGGAGATCTGGATAATTACCCGTCTGTTGTAAACTGTACATCTGAATTCCTGATTAATTGCACCCAATACTCTTCTACTAAGAACGTGATATCACCGACCTGTAAGGTACGACACGATACGAACTTATTTGTTTCCTCAGATACATGGGGTGAATAGGAGGCCAGAAAAAAAAGCTGCAGAAATGCGGCTTGACTAAGCTTTGGTCCCCTCCCCCTATTCAGCAGCTACGACAGAGCAGAGAAAATCTCTTTACAAAGTGTGTAAGTTTGACATATAATGGACAACTTATAATGCTAAACGAACAGTTTAAGGATAATGTGGTTGGAAAGATGTACAACATCGATATTTCTGTAAAAATAGCTATTCAATAAAACAGACAGAATGAAACTTATTCTCGGTTTACCATAATTGGTCCTACACTTCCGAATCTGCCAAGGCTGGTGATGTCAACGTGACTAAACATCAGATCTTTCTTTTACGTAAGAAAGCTTGAGAACTACAACTGAGCGGCAAAATGCCGCATACTTATACCCTATGGTTAATGGATAATCATAGACCAATTTTATATTAAAAATTTTGTATGGTTTACATAATGGCTGTATTAGATATATGCAGCGGACATGTGCAATTATTCTAATCACCTCTTTTGTATTAAATTTTGTGTGGTTAAATTCGAGAGAGATGCATTTACCCTGACAAGACTACAATAATGCAGACGAGAAAAAAGAAGGAATTACATTGAACCCTCGTTATATTTGTTTGAAGAATGTGTCTGTGGTTAATATTAATTCCCACAATTTTTCCCTGTTTAGCGCAGAGAGATATAACGTGATTAGTCCAGAGCATTTTTTCCGAGAAAACAATTCCAGGCGTTTTAACACTGCTTACGAATTCAATATTTAAAGAACCAAAATTAAGAGGATCGTAAAGTCCGTTACTGGGGCATCGTGGGCGGGACATCGCGGCTTTTGTTTTGGATACATTAATGTGCAAACAGTATATATCTGCCCAAGTTTTCAACTTTAGAAGAAACCCGTTAGATTTATCTCTCTGTCCCACTTCGCAACATGTCTGAAAAAAATTACGCTTCTATCAACATCGTCATAGATTACCCTGAGTAAATGTTCACTATGTGGTAAATATACAACAGAAAAAACAAGGGGTCCCAGAATACTGCCTTGCGGTACTCCTGATGAAATGCTTAAAGGTGTTGAGCGTTGGTCATTCATTTGAACAAACTGAGAGCGAAATTGTATATAACATTTAATTAAGGAAAGTGGAAGATCAGGAATACCATAAACAAACAATTTTTTTAGTAAAACCGTGTGGTTAATGCAGTTAAAAGCTTTACTAGGCTATAAATATTTTCTAAGCTATATTTTCTTTCTTTGAAGTTTCTAAGTATCTTTTCTTTCTGAACTAATAATGATGTTTCTGCTGGCAGTTTTTTCTGGAAGCAAAATTGGCATTCTGTTCTGAGGGAGTGTTTATCACAAAAATGTACAATTCGATAGTGCATTCTTTTTTCTAACCCTTTGAAAACATCAGTACAATGGGTATTGGTCGGTAATTTCCTAATTAATTTTTGTTTCCGGTTTTAAACAAAGCTAAAACTTGCGCTATTTGCATCTTTTTTCGGAATGTACCGGATGACATGGCAAAGTTGTTAAGCGTTAGGCATGGGGCAATAATATTGACCACGTACTTTACTGGTAGAATTTGTAAATCATCCGCATCACGAGCGCGACTGTTGCTAAGACAGATGAGCGAGGAATTGACCTGTAGTGATTGTGGTACCTATATTCACGAAGATGTTGTTGAATTCATTCGCCAGGTGCAGGCCATTTAAGACTTCTTGCTACCATTCTAAGCTTCCAGTCTTATTAGAGTTATGTGACGTATTAAAAACACTCTTTATACGTTTCTACAACAGCTCAGCCTTTCTCAGGCACTCAGCACCGAATAAACTGAAGTAATACATTTTTTTTTTGCGCTTCTTATTTCTGTAGTTAATATATTCCTGTATTTTCTAAACTCCTCTAATACAATTTTACCTCAAGTTGTAAGAAATAATTTAGGAAGGTGGTAATTCTTGAGTGTTTATTTTAAGTGTTAATGCCATTCAAGGTTCCTTTCCCTTTCCAGCAAGCTTTACAGGCTTGACCGGAAAGCAGTCGGAATAAGCCTGTTTAAACTTTTCAATAAACTGGTCATACGCGCTATCAACGTCAGCGCTGCCGACTATATTTCCCCGATCAGTGATGACTTACCTCTGACTTTGTTTAAACATATGTAGTGCGGCTGGCATAATGTCCTTGAAGGTCATTTCAGATGTTACATGTTTGCGTTGTTCTCGCATTGAGTCCCCTAGCTAACATAGATATGGGCCAATGGTCCCAAATGGACACACATATTACGCCAGTCTTGACCATTTCATTATCATACTTTGCAATAAATAAATCAAATAACGTTGATGTGATCAACGTAGTGCGAGCGGGATGCGTAATACGATCAAATAATATATTGGCCATTAATAATAACAACAGGTCAGTAGTGCTTGTGGTATCTTTTATGAAATTTATATTGAAGTCTCCGCCAAGGAAAAGAATATTTGCCTTCGTTTGCATAACACAGAAGTGTATCTAGAAACATAAAGGAATTGAGCCACACTGCCGCTTGGTGGGCGAAATACATCAGAAAACGTGTAAACGCTTTGCTTCATGCATAATATTTCATAATCTTCTGTAACGGATGTATACTCTCCTTCAATTTCAAGGTCATCACTCCCTACAAGCGTGGTGACACCAAACCCAAGCCCAGATGAAAGATTTTGATAAAAGTGTTGATATTGAGGTAAGATAAAAAAAATTCGTTTCGTCTTGGTACCATATTCCGGGAGGCATTATCAGATGCAGTGAGCACTCAAGTGACTGAAAAAGAAGCATAAGATCATCCGATTTAGATCTTGCTGATCTAACATTCAGGTGAAACAGTTTCAAAACTTATATGGTTATAGACCGACACGCGGGCCTGACTTCACGGAGATGCGGCGGCGCTGCGATCGCGCCGGAGCCGGCTGTTGTGGATAGAAGGGCTGACGTTTCGCATAGGCGTCATAGCATTTCAGCATGCCGCGAAGCTGATTTACCGTTAATTGCACCGAAATGTACAAGTAAAGTAGCGGAGTGAGTTTCCACAAGTTCCCGGCAGACTGTGCAAGGCATATATATAAGGTGGATAATATCCGTGGGTCGAAAAGCATTGTCGCCTCGCGCGAACGATCGTTTGTGCAGCAAGCACTTTCTTGAAGGCAAGTGCGGCTTCTATTTCAATCTCCGTCCCGAGGCTTGCTTATGTGCAGGGAAACCGTCGTCTGATCAAGACCACCCGGATTTTGTTCCCACGGTGTTCGCGCAAAAAGCACGGCCAAGTGCTCGTCGGAGGCTCGCTACACCCGTGCTACCCAGCAGAAGGGGATCGGCGACAGAACGGCAGTGTTGTAGGCGTTACCGAAAAAAAGTAACGAAATACGTTACTCGTTACTTGCAAGTAAATGCCGAGCTACCTTACCGTGCTACCTTACCTCAAAATAAAAGGAATGCGTTACCGCTACCGATAAAGAGTAACGCACGTTACTTCTGCGTTACTTTTTCAATTATGATTTAATATACTGTTTACGGTTTTGACGATAGAGGTATGCATAAGCTCATGTATCAAGAAACATTATGTTCATGCAGAAACTGAACATAATTACTTTATCTCTTTTTACGGTTTCACCTAAATACTCACGAGAAAAAACGCTAAGAAAAACATGGCTTGACGCCTAAAAACACGGAAAATACTGAAGTGTAATTTCTTTCAGACTTGGGAAGTGGTAACGAGTAACGTAAGTACGTTACCCGTTACTGTTTCGAAAAAGTAACGAGTAGGTTACTACGTTAATGAAAAAAGTAACGCGTTCCTGCCAACGCTGTTACTTGTAAGGTATTACTGCCAAAACTGCAGAACAGAGAAATCGTTACCGTTTGTCATGCCTTGTGGTCATGAGGGTAGGAAAAATATTATACCTTGACTTCAAGACGCAGTGTGTATGTAATCAATTATTAAGTACACTTCCGTTGACCCACAGTCTGCTTATCCCGCCGGCAGTGCGGAAACCGACTAGAAGCAATCGTAGGCCTCGAGAGACTTGTACGCCTGCACCGTCCCGGCTGTGAACCGGCGTGGAAAAAAAACTAAATAGACGATGATGAGAGCCGTCGACTTCGGAGGCAGCAACTTCATGTCGGAAGTCCAGCAGGCCTTGTTTACGGCGTACGGATCCTCGTAGGCAACGCCGTCCACGCACAGTTTGTTTCGGTACGGCTGCCTTTCAGGCCCGGATAGCGAGCTCAAATAGTCGGGAATAGCATACGACATACGTTGTCAGGAAATGCGACGCACAAATAAAGCTAAAAGCGTCCCTACAATGTCAAAAAAGAGCGCACGCCACACAACGTAATGGCGAAAACACGCGGCCGGGCCGCTTTTGCCCACACAGCTACCACGCATGCGCTGCCTTCCGGCCGTGTTGGTAAACAGAGCCGCTCCGGGGGTCGGTCTATACCTGCGTCCTTACAGATATCTTGTTGTAGAAACAAATCGGTTACTGCCATATTTAGGTATAAATGTATTAGTTCAATCAAATCACCACTATTCAGTCCCTCCCTAACAGATGTTGAGAAGATCATCATGTGTTCAATCGATATGATATGTCCGTTTTCTGCTTTACGGAGTAAAATCTTGCCATTTCGTGCCCACAAGAATTTTTTCAGCCGACATCGCGTTTCTTGGTGATAGTCTTACCAAGCAATTTCTTCAGGGTCGGGCACAGATGCTTGTTCACAAAGACAGGCGCGTTATCGGAAAGGCCCCAATCTTTATTCGTTAATCGTTTTGCTCGGGCACTTGCAAGTACCCTGTCACGCTTTTTTCTACGGATGAACTGCACGATAATGCTTTGTTTGCCGCGTTCTCGAGTGTGGACTCGGTGGCAGATTACAACGTCCGATTTATCGATTGGCCCGCCGATTGCGTCCTTTAGCTTACACAATGTTTCAATAACATTCTCGTTTTCGGCCACCGAAATGCCTTTCATTGCAAGATCGTTAGACAGAGAGTGTTTGTCACAGTGTACGATGATCACTTGGTTTTCTCTAATTTTTGTTTCAAGCGCAAGGCACTTTGGTCGCAGTTCTTCATTTTCTTTCTTTAGTTCCTTGTTGCCCGCGATTCCGCCTTCAAGCTTTTCCCTAATATCCTCGTATTTGGCATTGATGAAGTGCATGCTGGACTTCGTATCTCGTATATCAGTACGAAGGTCACGTATTTCATTACGGAAGTCTTTCTCCAGCGTTTATCGCATTGACTTCCATTCAGTCTTCATTTCAGCCTGTTGTTCAGTGATAAATCATACCGCATCACACAAAAGATGCAGGTGAAATTCATATTGGCAGCAGCTACGGCAATTAAGCCGAAAGGCTGAAATAATTTATATAAGTATAAGAAACCAACTTGGAAAGGGGTGCAGTCTTATCATGATGAGTCGAGTGCCGTCGCGACTGCTAACCGATGGGTGCTGCTACGATGCCTCTTATAGCGCAGAAGCCAGGAGCGGTACCGTGAAACAGCCAATCGTAGGCGAAGCGAACGTCCGAGCTGAGATCAGCAGCGGTGGAGCAGCGAAGTCAGTCTTGGACAGAGGCCAGTGGACGCTGATAACTTGCAAATGGCCGCTCACCATCAGTCGAAGATCGGTGAAATAGGGCCTTCAGTTCAGAACTGGCGATCGAATCGGTCTGCAAAGGAGCCCAGTCTTGGAGAAACGAGTCGAGTTCCGTCACGGCTGCCAAGTAATGTCTGGTTTCTCTCAGGTGAAGGTACTTGGCCTCCTTTTATGTGAAATCTACAATAATAACCTGCTTAATAGCATCTCATCTTCAATGCAGTTATTCGCCCATGATTGTGTAATTTACAAATCTAATCATCCATATAATGATGAACTAACTTTACAGAATGATCTGAAATTAATAACTTGGTGGAGTCAAAATGGCGAATGGCTTTAATTTTTTACAAATGCAAATCGCTCTCATCTTTATAAATGTAAATCGCTCTCGCGGTTGTATGATGTTCGTATCACCTTGCTATTACTACAATGCCGTCTTGTTCAATATACAAATACCTTGGAATCCATCTTACCTCTGATCTATCATGGACTACTCACATTACCTCTGTCGTTGCTAATGCTAACCGTCCTCTCGCTTTTTAATCCGTATCTTTAGACTGGCGAAACTCTTAGTAAAACAGCTAGCCCACACTACATTGGTAAGATCCAAACTAGAATACGTTTGCTCAATACGGTGTCCATGGCAATCATATTTAAGTAACACACTAGAAACCGTTCAAAATAGATCACTTCGTTTCATTTATTACTCTTAATATACTAGCGCAATTGTTCTCAACCACTGATGTTTCGAGGACAGCTTTTGAATCGGCAGAGGTGATGGAGGACCCTGTTTGTAGTGAGGTGAAAGGGGAAGGTAAAGTTAGAATAATGTTTTAATGAATTGATAAAAGCTAGAGCTAACATGAAGTAGACTTCTCTCATTGACGTGCACATGAGAAAACTCTCCCGAAAATTGGAACGTTTTTTCTCAGTATGAAAATATACAACTTATTGCCTGGCTTGACTGATGAGGAAGGAAGGGCTTCGCGGACCCCTAGAATGCCTTCGCAGACCCTAAAGTCTCCGCGGATACCAATTTGAGAAACACTGCACTAGCATGTCAGGGTTCCGCCAATCAGCTAACCTGGATACAGGTTCTTTCCGAACGAGTGCACGCCGCCTCTCTATACTTCATCGAATCTTTTATTACAATAAACATCTAAAAAAAATAATTGCTATCAACTGCTCACTGAGTTTTCTGTAGTCTCGTCCATCCCTGCAAATTACGTGAAATTTCATCGTGCACTGCTGTTTATCAAATGTCTACGTTACCATTGACCACAAAGTATTCGGACTCACAACCAGACCACATCGTTTCTATAAATAGCACTAACATATTTGAAACTACAACTACTCCCTTCTTCTCTAGCTCCACTATAACGTTCAGTGTTTTTGGCGTTTGTTCAAGTTGTGTTGATTGTTTTTTGTATAGAAGTATGCTCACCTTTTGTTTAAAAGGCAACTCTGGCCAAAACTCAAAATGAAATAAATCACTGGTATCGTTGTAATGACAGAAAATACGGCCCCAGCCAAAATATTACGTCCGTGGGTTGCCGCATCCTCAACTAGTGCCGATAATAAAAATGGGACCCGCCGCGAGCCGCTGCTCCTTAACGGGCGGCCAGCGGGTTGCCGATCGCTAAAGCAACATTGGGCCGTGACGTCAGTATCGTTTTCTTTTTTTTCCTCCGGTCCGGGCGTTGCGCGGAGTGCGCTTCTTTGAGCCGCTACCACCGCTACTTTGGCTTGTGATTGGCGTGTTTAGCCGTTGCTTATATCTGTATCCCTTGTAGCTTCGGTATAGCCTTTTGTTTATTTGCTTGTGGGGGCGTGTTCGAGGTCCGAATGTTCCACGTGTCGAACATTATACGCCGATTATTCCAAAGCTCACGCATGCACATAAGGGGCTCCGCGTGGCGAACCGGACTCTGTCTCGCCCTAGCGCTCAAACCTGCTGTTACGCCGACTTCGACGCCCGCGACGCTCTGTTCTTCCTCTTTGTGTTCTCTTTATTTTAGGCACAAGTTCGCCCCATTAAACGTTTAGTTTTCTTCAGTTATCAATTGGCATTCGTGACAGTTTGGTCGAGGTGCTGGGTATGGCATTCTATGCTTGTTAATCGTACCCCTCCAAAGACATCCCGGCCAAGCGACGTGCTCAGCCCCGGAAGGCTACCTTTCGCCGAAGACGCCGAAGCCCGGAGAAGCCGTCGTACCAGAAGTCAGTTCCCTGAATTGGGTCTGCTGCCGGACAAGCCCAGGCCGAAGAAGACGACGATGGCCAACCAGTCGCAGACCCCGGCAGCTCCTGCCTTCATCTACCTACCCGTCGCTCCGCGGACGGCTGCTTCGTTCCACGACGAGCAGTACGAAGATGTGGAAGACTGGATCAACCAGTACGAACGCGTTGCCCGCCACAATGGCTGGACAGATGAGTAACGCCTCCACAACGTCTATTTTTCACTTGAGGGGACCCCCAAGCAGTGGTTCGAAAATCACGAATCCTCTTTGACATCGTGGGACATGTTCAAGAGCCAGCTGAAGGGCACATTTATCAACCATAACCGCTGAGAGAGAGCCGAGGATCTACTGCGAATCAGAACCCAGGGCCCCAACGAGACCATCACCGGCTTCGTGAAGGACGTTCTGCGCCTGTGCTCCCGCGCCGACCCTCGGGCCACAGATGAAAAGAAGCTGTGAATCCTAATGCGGGGCGTCACAGACGACATCGTTGGCGGCCTGGTCCTTAGCCCTCCGACAACAGTCCAAGATTTTGTAATCGAGGCAACGAACGTCGAGCGTGCCCTGCAAGCCCGATCCAGTCACTTTCAGCGACTACCCGGCCTCCCTGCCATCCGGCCGTCTAGCGGCGACCTTGGCTCCAGCATCCCAGGCATTCGCGAGATCATTCGCGACGTCGTCCGGGAGGAGCTGCGAAAGCTGCTACCCGCCGCTGACCGACCAGCTTCGCTCTCCATCGCCGAAGTCGTGCGGGAAGAGGTGTAGAGAGCCATTCAACCAGAGGCTCCCATCAGCGCAGCAGTCCCCGAAGAAGCCGCGCTAACTTACGCCGCAGTGGCCCGACGGCCACCGCCTCCTCCTCGCGACTATGTCGCGCCGCCCCGACGTCAGTCTCCTTCGCCGCAGTACAACCGACGCCGCGACGACCAGCTCCAGTACGCCTGCCAGGAGCCCCGTGCACCCCGGAAGACCGATGTGTTGCGAACGCCCGACCGACGCCCTCTGTGCTTCCACTGCGGGGAAGCAGACCACACCTACCGCCGATGCCCATACCGTCGACTCGGGCTGCGCGGGTTCCACCCGAACGGCCCGCGACCCCGCTATAGTGAGCGCCCTCGGGAAATCGAAGACTACCTGCGACAACCTCAGACCCCCGAGCCTGCGTCCCGCCTATAGTTCCGGTCGCCTTCGCCACGACGTCCAGCTTCGCCGACGCACCGACCGCGACCTGAAAGCCTGTCGCCCCTCGCTCCAAGCCGGGGAAACTAGGCGCGCAACCCCTGGAGGTGGAGTTGCCGAAGACGCCCGACGCCACGATCCTCCACGAACGTCGGAGGGCCCCCACTCGAAACCTACCAGAGACCGAAGCAACGCCCCTGCAGCGATGTCCAATAACCTAAACGTCGTCATTGACGGCCACGACGCATCAGCACTTGTGGACACCGGAGCAGACTACTCGGTCTTAAGTAGGAGGCTCTCCCGCCACCTTCGAAAAGTCACCACGCCGCGGGATGGGCCACAAATACGAACCGCCGGAGGGCACCTCATCACACCAGTTGGGAGATGCACTGCTCGCGTCGAGTTGCACGGTGAGACGTGCCCTGTGAAGTTCGTCGTTCATCAAGACTGTTCGAGGGACGTTATCCTCGGAATGGACTTCCTCTGCGAGTATGGCGCCGTCATCGACCTCGGGGCAAACCTGCTGACGCTGCGAAAGCCTATTTTACCGCCGGTGGAGACCAACACGACGTCAACCGCGATCCGAGTTATCGCCGACCATGTGAACTTAACGCCGCGGTCGAGTATTTTCGTCACCGTCAAAACCGACGCAGCCATGCACGGTGAAGCTCTTCTGGAAGGCAGCGTCCAACGGCTCCTTGAGAAAGCAATTAGCGTCGCACGAGGCGTAACGGATCTTCAAGAAGGACGTACAACTTTTCTTGTGACAAACTTCCGAGAGGAGCCGCAGCACCTAACGAAGGGTACCACCGTGGGCCACATTGAGGAGCTTCAGGGGCCAGCCGTGGTAACCGCGATCTCCGAAGAAACCTCGTCGTCAGAACAGCACGCCACCGCCGCCGATCGACATCGACCCCGAGCTCCCAGCTCCTAAGCGCCGGCAACTGGTTGATCTCCTCGCCGAATACAGTGACTGTTTTGCCACGTCGTCGAAAGTTCGCCAAACACCAATGGAGAAACATCGCATTATTACCGACGACGACGCGCTCCCTGTGCAGCAGTCGCCGTATCGAGTCTCCTTAAAAGAAAGGAAGGTGATTCAGCATTATGTCCAAGAAATGCTCGACGACGACATCATTCAACCCTCAAGAAGTCCATGTGCGTCCCCAGTCGTCTTTGTAAAAAAGAAGGATGGAACCCTGCGGTTCTGCGTGGACTATCGTCGACTGAACGCTGTGGCGAAGAAGGACGTCTATCCGTTCCCCCGCATCGACGATACGTTAGACCGACTGCGCCACTCCCGATATTTTTCGTCGATGGACCTGAACAGTGGCTACTGGCAGATTGAAGCCGACGAACGCGACCGGAAGAAAACTGCCTCCGTCACTACCGACG